AGCAAATCCAATGTGAGAAAGAAGGATGAGAAGCCAACAACATGGGAGATGCCAATATCCACTAAACACTCTATTTGCAAGAAGCTTTATGAGGCAAGGGCTGAATTTCCTGATGAGAAGGATTCGCTGAACCACTTCAGCAAGAAGCTCATGATGAGACCTAATCAGTTGAGGGAAATTTACAAGCAAAGGTCCATATGGGAGAAAGAGATGATGAAGCATGAGCAAAGCACAGCCATAGATGAGAGAAAGCAAAGGAGTGGATTGAGCAAAGGGAAGAAAGCATCAGGTGGGAACCAGATGAGAGTGAGGGCATCAAGAGGAGGCGCCAAGAGGCAATTCCCACATTTGTTTCATGAGATCAAGATATGGCTGGACAAAGAAAGGAGTCATGGGCATGGAGTCCAGAAGATGGACTTGGCATGGAGGTATTTTCAGCTGCTGGCATTGGAGAAGAGAAGCTTGAGGAGAAAAGGGATGAGCTGGAAGATGGGGCGCGGAAGGTTCTTTGTATGAATCAATTGGAAAAGGCTGAATCCCAAATGAAAAGTATCTCAGAGTGGTATAAGCAAAGGGAAAAGGACGGCCAAGATGATCATGGGGCATCGGCGCTAAACATTACACCATTACACCATTGAGCAATGAGGAGCAGCAAATTGGAGCAGAATTGGCATGGCAGCATCATGACTATCTCATGAGCCTGGTGTCCATGGGGCATGAAGATCTGAAGCACTATGTGGCAAAGCCTGACGAGGTCAAGGCTAACAGGATGAAATGTATGCTTGGATTCTCAGATCAGGTTCCTGTATGGGTGAAAAAGGGATCCACTAAGGCTGTATTTGCAAGCTATGAGACCAGGACACATGAGAAACCCATCAAAAAGATTAGGAGGGACCTCGCAGATGAGCTGAACCAACAAGCACATGAGAAGAACTTGGTGGATGAGGCTGAGGACCCTGCAGCATTGAAAGATAAGGAGCCCGATGAGGACCTTGAGGCATTTGATGATGAGAAGAAGCAAGATTGGCAGTTGGTGACCACTGAGGATCAGAAGGGTGGGCAAAGGCTCATTTGACTATCAAGAAGGACTCAGCAACTGAGAAGATGAGGACTACTCTTGAGGCCCATCAGCTGGTGAGCAATTTCTTCAACCCTGATGAGGACCCCATTGGACATGTGGGCAAGGGGGTGCTCAGTACCTGGGCAACATGCGCGATTGGACAACATTGATGACAGTGGTAGGTGGATTGGGGATGAATAATTCTGCTATTTGGGAGAGATGAAGGTGCATAGTCATAGGAAGGGTGAGAGTGCCAGGAGGGCATTGGAGCAATGGGTCAAGATCAGAAGGGATCATCCTGATCTGTTGGAACACTATAATGTCTATTCCCAACCATCCTCCAATCAGGACAATATCATTATGTCATGGGTCATTGCAAAGCAAGGGAGGATGTATCCAGCATCCATCTATCAGAGGGATTGCTTTGCTGCATCATTTTCTGATGATACATCCAAGATGATGTATGCAGCCCATCAGTTGCAGTCTATCATTCCTCCAAAGATGACAGCTATGATGCAATTGACAGATACAGACTTTAGCTATGTGTTTAAGAGCTTGATGAGGAAATCTGTTGATGAGACCATGGCAAAGGGGCAGCAGGCTATGGACACCAGTGAGGTGTATCAGATGGGCATGAAGGATGTTGCGCAATGCCTGCATCAAGCCATGAAGAGGATGATTGAAAGGAACAATGAGAAGGAATGGGTGCTGAGAGGGCTCAAAGGAGGAATGGGTGCTTGGCTATGAGGCCAGGGAAGGATGGGTCATGAAATGGTGTGGTGACCAGCCATGGGCGAAGGATATGCCACTGGGAGGTGACAGGATTAATGAGGGATGGTTGAAGAATAGGTTGGTGCATGTGAAGGATGGGGTTATCACACCTCCCAATTGGACAAGGATTCAAGGTGCCAAGGAATTGGCTGATTTGGTTGAATGGATGTATCATTCAGATCAGGATTGGTACAAAAATGCAGACATCCCAGGATTAGCTGATGAGCAGCTGCCAGAATGGGTGGAGGCCAGCCAGTTTCAACTGCCATTGGTCTATAGGAAGGCAGCTTTGCAAAGAGAGCATTCTATGAGCGATGAGGCAAAAGAGAAAAGGCACGTGGCCAATAAGAGAAAGAAGAATAGGAAAGTTGTGAGGGATGCAGCCAAGGCATTGGGTGATGCGGAAAAGAAAGCCATCAGAGATCAGCTGCAGCAGGGGAGCAGGCATGAGGTGATGAGTGCAATGGTGCCATCAGCTACCAGGAAGGGATCAGCACAGAATAAGGACAAGAAAAAGGTTAAGAACATGAATTGGATGAAGAAGGTCAAGAAGCATATGCAGAAGCACATGAAGAAAAAGGCATTGGAGGATGTGGCCAAGGAAACGCTATCAAAGAAGAAGGCACTGGAGGATGGGGGTCATGAGAAGCATGATGAGAAACCCAAGCAGAAGAAGCTTGCATTGGGGGATAAGAAGGATGAGAAAGGCAAGGATGAAGCCAATCTCCCATTGCCACCACCAGCATGGGCACCCCCAGATGGATGGGAGGGGAAGATCAGGGTCATCAGTGAAATGGCTGGAAGTACTTTGTATGTGAGGCATTGGGCCAAAGGGAGAATGATGTCCAATTGCTTTTGGAGGAGGATTGGAGGAATAAAGGTGATAGGAAGGCATGGGTCAAGAAGGAATACCTCACCAAGGTAGGAGGGGATGAGAAGATTTGGAGATGGCCCCAATTGAGTATGAGCAGGGAGATGAAGCTGGAGATGCTTTTTGAGGTGCTTTTTGAGGCTGGCCTATTGTCTATGGACGTTGAGCTCATTGATGTGAATGGGGGTGTGGAGGTGGTATCACAGAAGTGCATCAAGGAGAATGGGGTGGATCAGCAAACATTGGTTTTGGGATGGGCGCTCATCAGGTGGGTAGCCAATGAGAAGAAGCTGGATGAGTTGGGCCCTGTGAGATTCATGCATCCCGCTACCAGCTATGGCCTCATGTTTCATCAGAACAATGAGTATGGTCATAAGGAGCTGGTGGCACCATAGGAGAAGATATCAGAGATTGCGATGAGGCTATTTTCTAGCTGGGGGGCATTGGACACTGCTGGTGGTGGATTTGAGGATGGGTGTGCCTTTTGATAGGGAGGTGAGGTATTAAGAGACATGGTCTCCAATCAGGTTTATCCAAGGAATGTGATGAATTGGTATTGGCTGCATTGCTCCAATTGGGTATCATTGATGAGAAGTTCTTGGATAGGCCCCCCTACAAAGGGTGAATGAGGTGGTGAGGCAAAAGAAGGGATCCAACCAATGTGGTGTATTTGTATTGGCCTATATGGAGCAGGAGGTTGTTGATGCCATGGGGTATGGCCCAGCAGGGATTGGATGGCCATGGGTTGCTGCCCAGAATTGGATCAGCAAGATGAAGAAGATGGGTGAGCAATTGGTGATTGAGAGGGAGAAAAGGATCAAGGCTATGAGGGAGCATGATGAGAAGGATCAGAAGCATGGGGAGAAGATGAAGCAGGAGAGGGAGAAGACGGCAGCATTGGCTGAGAAGATGAAGGCAGCCAATAAGAAGATGACCAAGATACAGGAGGATGCTTGGAAATTGGTGAATGAGGGAGGTGCTTTGAGGGTAGATGAGCTCCCATCAGCCTATTTGAAAGCCAAAGCCAAGATTGAGTTGGATGGGATTGGGGTATGTGGCAAGTGCAGGTATTCCAGTGGGGGATGCAATGTATGGAAATGCACAGCCTATTGGATGAGGAGGGAGGGGAAGAGGCTGGGGAGGAAAATCCCATATGAGTATACATTGGCTGCACAGATTGCTGCTGGGAAGGATGAGAAAAGCAAGCAGAATGATCAGAATGATTGATGGATGAGAGGATCAGCATGGGAAAAGGGTGGATCAGAATGCTATCTCTCAAAGAGATGGCACGAGACAAGGGTGCATCAGAAGATCAGTTTCACCATGGACCAGAAGATATTGAGTAGTAGAAAAAATAGAGTAAATAACTAAATAAATAGAAGCTGGGATTGATTAATAGGGGGAGGTTTCTGGTAGAGAAAAAACTATTAGGGTGATGCCAAGGTGGAAATCTAGGATTGAAATTAGTTTAGTATTGGAGGGGTCGAGCTGGGATTGATTAATAGGGGGTGGTTACTTAATTCTATGTGCGCAATTTTCCGGAAAGTCAAGACTACCTCTAGGTCTTGATCAGCTGACCTGAGTCGAATTGAACCCTTGCATAATGCTTTGTTGAAGCGGATCAATGCAGTGTCTTTGCCACCATTGGTTGCATGCGCCGTGTGTCTACATCATAGTGGCCCATCGCCCTGACAAAAGTGACGCAGACCGACGAACTGCACTTGACCTCCTCTGCCAACTTCCGAAAGTGATGATTGCCTCCTTCAATTGACGTGTCCGCCAACTGACCCTGCTTGCCACACTTTCCTGAGATGTAGAATGTAGACAACGCCGTTTGTCCCATGCCAGGTTCCCACTCCCCTGTTCAGCTCCCAAAGCGGCATAGGAGACTCCTCATCTAACCTCCCTACCAAAGGCAATCAATCAAGAGGCATGGCTGCAAGGGCGGGTGGGAGCGGTGGAAAGAGCTTTGATGAGGAATGCTGAACATGCCCCTTAGCAAGTTGCCTGCGCCGAGATCTATGGGCGTGTTCAAAGTCGTTGCACGACACAAAAGTTCATCTCACTCTGGGCGGAAGAGTCCACCAATCGTGTGGACTTGATTCAGGTTGCATCCCCCAATCACTTCACGTGTTGTATCCCTATGCAGTCCGCCGCTCAACATATCAGACAAGAACCAAGGATTAATGATCAACTAAAGCAGCACATGACCGCTGCCACTACAATCGATGAACCTCCAACAAAGCAGGATCTAGTCTGAGCAAACTAGCAAGAGCTAAAATACAGGATGTCAGTCTCCTGAATCCAACACAGTTGTAGATCCACGGGCAATGATGATCCATCTTCAGGATGCAGGTCTTACCTCAATGCAGGGTAGATTTTGAGTTGCTCCTAACCACAAGATAGAACGGGCAATTAGAAACTAAATGCTTGAGAACTTCACACACGCGGCAATGATGACATCTGTCTGGTTTGTACCTGAAGTTTCTTGCAAAGGATGCATCCAATCAATTACAGGCCACCACCAGTACTTGCTAGAGTTCCAGGGACTGGCTCACTTGGCACACCATTTGCAATGACGGCGTTCACCTGTTCTTTTCTTTTCCTGCCCACAGTGCTTCTGCAGTGCTTACTGTGCTTCGAGTTTCAACACTTTTAAGTTTCCCCAAGGAATCTAGGAACCAAATCATCAAGGCTCCGACGTTTTTAGTAGCGTCTTCCTTCTTACTTACTTGGCTGCTCTTGAGCTTGCTAGGGCCTTTCCAAACAAAAATACAGGAAGCTCGTCACCTTGGTTTCGGGTTGCTGCACAGCCGTGTCTGGCACATACTCCCAGGATGGATCTTCCTGCCACTTCACCAGGAGGGAGTGACGCACTCTCTGGAAGCTGCAAAACGTTACATAAGGTAATTGTGGTTCACTGGAGCTGCAGTGGCAATGTTTGGAGGAAGGAGCCTAAAACAATTCAGAATGAAAACTGAAAACTCTGGCAGAATGGCGTAAACGGCGTAAACTACATATTATATATATATATAGAGATAGATGCACAAAGCATAAGACTTCACTACAATAGGACTCATCCATCCCCACGACAGCAGGTAGCTGATGTTCAAGGGCTGTTCATTGCTGTAACAAGTCTCAATCTCACCCTCGTCTAAGGCTGGCAAAACCATGTCATCATGTGGCGTTTCTTCAAAATGGAATGTTTCCGCTGCCTCCTTTGAAGGGATGTTTCCAGGGTTTGTTGCCACCTGATTGTGACATGTAAAGACTTCAGGCATTTCGATACACAAATCAACATCTATCGCATCTATGGATGACTGAGGCGACAACTGCCCGCACATAGCAAAGAAGCATCATTAAGGTGATCTCAGAAAAAAAAATGAAAAGATAGATTGAATGCAAAGTGTTGCATATTTAGAGGGCACAGAAAGGTCTTTTGGCCAAAAACTTTGAGGCTAGCACGCCATTGAAGACCGCTGCTTGAATCACGCCGGTGTGGTAGCTGGCAGGCAGCACGTTGTAGACCAACCCCGAACCCAGAACTATGATAAACACTATACAAACAGCGAAGCTGAAGCCGGTAGACAGAAACAACTGCAAACAGGCTGCACACTTCACACAGTAGTATTGATCAGCACCTGATATATGTCTCCGGGCCTTTTGGGATCTTGTAACAAAGGAATGAGGTGGTAGTAGCTGTAGATCAAGTACAAACTGACCATGTTCACAACCACGAACACAACCTCAAGTGGTGCAAGGATCGATTTCTCCCGTAAAATGATGAAGAAATCAGGTTTCTCAGGTCCTGTCCGGCAGCACCTTATAGCAGCACCACATGAGACATGCAAGATTTGTGGATGATCTCTGTATACGTCTTCAAAGCAGAAAAAAAGAGCCAAGGCACGCGGGCTGCGTCCATGACACTTCGTTGATCCATGATGAGGATGAGGCAAAGCCTTCCAAACTGCTTCAATCAATTGGATTGGAGCCTCAACTTCAAAACCCACCAATAAATGAAATGTTGCGTGAACCTTTAGCTCCAAAACATGGCTATATAAATAAAATTGAGTCAAAGTCTTCATTTTGTCCATCACTGATGGCATTCAGAGGGAAACTCAAGTTTGCATCATCTCTGCCTGGCTATCTCCAGAAGGTGTTGGAGGCACAGCGCATGAATTAGCTACCGGGGGAAATTTCAGTTCCACTTGATGGCTACTCACTGAGAAATTTGAGACGGATTGCAGCAGCCAGTGTAATAACAATGGAGACAAAACAAACCGTGGTTGACATACCAGTGTTTATGTGTTCTCGAAACCACCAATGGTCGCATGGCCACATGGCATGTCAAAAAAGGGAACTGAGGACACGACAATTGCATGTAGAGCGTTCTGAATCAATCTCTTGAAATTGATCATGGTTCGCAATAGGTACCACATGAAGTAACTTCAATCTAAGTCCTATCCTTGGAAGGATCTTTCAAAGGTCCTCTGGTTTTTAGCCACATGATCACACCC